CACAATATTCTAATTTTCTGATGTGATGAATGTTTCGTTTTCATTTGTTGTCATTTGTAATCATCAAAATTAAACAGAAGAAACATCAGATATATATGAGTTTGTATGTAATGTATGAATATAATATACAAGTTTCACTTTTTAAATGGAATTACTGAAATCAATCTACTTTTTCATGATATTCTAATTTTATGACCAGCACCTGTACATAAGAACTCAAAAAATATAACCAGAAACTAGAACAACAAAAAATAAAAATTAAACCAATAAATTAGAAAACATAGAAAGATATGAATCAAACATTCCTTTACATCAGAAAGGATCAGATCTGGTTTGTCTTGCTAACTGCAACTTTTAGGGAAGCTCAACTGTCGTAAAGTAGGACTCTGGGTCACATGACTCATTCAGCGATGGATCGGACCACAGGCGGTTCTGCAGCAGATGGCCACTAAAGTAAAGAGATAATACAGAATAAATGAAGAATTAGTTATATTTACTGGAACAGAAACTGTAAATGATTAGTCAACTGGATAAGTTTTATTCTTTACTTTTCAAAGTTTCATTTTAAAGATGATGAAAAAAGGAAGTCGTTGAACTTTTAGGTTCACTTAATATTTCAAATGACGAACAATTAACCTGTTTTTTTTGTTTGTTTCTTTTTTCGGTGCCCCCGTGAAAAAAATCCATCCAAAATTTATTTTAAAAATTAAAATTATTTTTAAAGAATTGAAAAGCTGATAGATATGCGGCGTCTTGATATGTAACCAAACAATGTTAGATTTGGTTGAAAAGCAAAAGGTCAAAAGTCGAAATGTTCTGATTGTTGAAAAGACGTTAAAGACACAATTTTTAACAACTATTATTGGATTAAAACAGGACACAATTAAACCGATCAAACGCAGCCCAATTTCTGGACTAAGTCAAGACAAAAACAACGTCTAACTGACATCTGGTGTTGCGTCATCATGGCCCCCCTGGTGAATTTTTACAGAACCGCCACAGATCTGACCCTGTCAATTACTATATTATGACATCACCAGTTGCACCAGAACACACCAACAGCTGCAAATCAGAATATATCTTAAAATAAGCTAATGCTCGAATCAAAAGTTACACAGCGTTACTTTAATAGGTTTATATCAAAACATTTTATTACTATCTATTGGACTAAAATTCAAATGATCGTTAAAATGTAAATAGATTTTCCTGGATGCAATATATTAATATATTGTGCAAAACTGCTTTAAATATACCACATAAGAAGAGGAACTGTAACCGGACACAAAGTATTGACCTGTAGAGGCTGAATACATGTCATACGTATTAGAATTTACTTTCTTAAACTTGAAAAGCATGAATCCTTTTTTCTTTCCTCTTCCCTCATATCAAACATTTTGCTTTTTGAATTCCAGTAAAATACCCTGAAGTTGGTAATGTGGCAAACTGTGAAAAGGTTTAAAAGTGATGAATTCTTCTGGCACTATAATAACATTAAGCCTTATAGATCCACACATAATTTTAAGACTAGTTTGAACTTGGAGCATCTTCTTCAGCAAACAATATGATCTTAATGTTATTAAAGTGATTATCTACAATCATCTATTACATTTCTGTCAAACCAAAACAGCTGCCAAGTAAAAAAAAAAATAAAAAAACAATCAATAGAAAGGGAGTGCAATAACTTGATTTCTTTTTTTTTATTTAAATTAACCTAGTTCTGTTTCTAACTGTACAGGCTTCAAAGTTAAGAGCAGAAAACTTGTAAGAAATGGAGTTTGGTTCCAGTCTAGTGTACTTTGCCTCCCTCTAGTGGTTCAATGCAGTAAGTGACAGACCCTCAATCTTTGCCAAAAAGAAATGCCATCGTTTTTAAATGAAAAAAAAAAACAAAAAAAAAACGTCATATTTAATTTTATCAATAGATGATCTAACCTATATGGAGGAACAATCCTGTCAAATAAGACTTTTATATTCTAAATATTTTTAAAATCTTTTTTCTTTCCTCAGTTTGAGTTTTACAAACTGCTTTAATTTTTTTTCAAAGAAGCAATTTAAAATCCATAAAAAATACTTGGAAAAAAATTAAATCTAAAAGTTATCTTTGAACAACAAACATATGAAAGATTAAAATCTAACAAAATAGCAACGTTACTTTAAAAAAATTGGTTTGCCTAAAATATTTTTTAAAGATTTATATCTCAGTTGCATTTGTTTTCAAATTTCAATAAATTTTTCAGCATTTAATTTAAAAAACGTGTTTTTCTATCTGCAATATTGGAACAAAATTCCCTCTATATATACACAAACTTCATCATTACTTTATGTCTGTCTTGTTTTATACATCAATCATAACTCCATACACGGTTGGACGATAATGAAAACTCACCTCGACTTTGTGGTGCTTTCATGACACTGATCCAAGTGTGGATAAACCAGAACTGTTTGTTACTATTTACATTCTTTTTTTAGGTAAATAAATTGCTGTGACTGCGTCCCACAGTAATTATAGCCCCAAAATCACATATAAAAAATAGGCCTAATTCAAATTTATATAAAGAACCCACAGTGACACCATTTAATCATATTCTTAGAATTTGTGAATCTCCCAATAAAAAAAGAGTAAATTCTTTATTGACAATTCACTCATTTTTCTATTTTTAATCATTCTAATTAGTAATAATTATTACTTTATCACTGCTGTTTCCTTTATTAAGGCTGCACTTTAAAACATGAAAATAACTTGAGAGCTCTACTGAGTGAAATTTCTTTTCGCACACACTTGTTAATTTATGATTTAGATGATAATCTGGAAATCTTATAACTAGAAATTTATCACAACAATAAACACATAAATGAAAAAAAAAAACCCTACCCAATAAAATTATGTCTGAGCAAAAATCCACACTAACAAGGATTCTAGATGTATTTCTTTTATTGGCCTTCCAGGATAAACTGTTTGAATTAAAATTCTCCTCTCCTGTTAAAGAGCCGTCCACCTCTCTGTCCCCTCACAGTTCAGCTGCTCAGATCCTGTTAAACTTTGCTCCAGTTTTTCAGGATCTTCCCTGCTGCTTCCAGAGTGCTGTCTTCCTGCAAAACAAAGACCAAAACAAACGTCACTGTTCTCTGAAACAGCTGCGAGAACATTTTACATCCATGAAGCACCAACCTTTTAGATTGAAATGTTCCTTCTAATACACTTCTAACTGTAACAGACATATTTATTTTGTACCTTTATGAAGCACAGGCGAATATATTTCTCAAACTGCTTCTTGGACTCTTCTCCGACGAATGCTGTGACGGGAATAGCAGCTAATTTCTAAAAGAAACCAGGAAGAGTTAATTGAATCTATGACAAACATCTTCCAGCACAGCTAATTAAAGATCAACGGTCGATGCTGATTATTTTGACAACAGTTTAACCCGGATATGTTTTGCTAAATTTAAGTTTGGGACAAATCTTTAGGGCCATATCTGGGCTTTTTTTTTTTTTTTGCTTTATTTACATGATTTGAATAAAAAACTAATAACAAATGTTCCAAATTTAAACAGAAAAGAAACATTTATGAACATGTGATCTGCTGAGGGCCCTGATGAATCAGCAGATGCTGGAACATGTCGGCTGATAGTGATGCTAGAAAAAAAAAGGATTATTTCTACAATAATGAACTCTTCTCACCTTTTCTTTTATCATCCATTTAACAAACTTGTAGTCATAGGCTTCATCGTCGGCCATGTGGGACAGATCCTGATCTAGAATAGATCCAGAAGGAAACAATGATTCAGTTGGATGTGCCGCTCAGTGTAGAAAGTATGGAGGGAATGCTGTTACCTTATTGTTCCAACATGTTTTGTAAATGGGAATTCAAAAATAAACTTTTCTATTTTCTTAGATTTTAACTTTTAAATATTTT